TTCGTTCGTATCGCTCATCTCAAGTCCGTCTCGTCCGTCTCCGTGTCCCCGCCATGTGAGCTTGCAAAAGTGAAACCTCCGTCCCCATCCGCGCCCCCCCTTGCAAGCTGCTTAATAGCTCTCTGCACATCTGTCATTCTAAGTTCGTCTCCGTTGCCCCGCAGATATCCACTATCTGGGACTTCCATATCGCCTTCGTCATCGTGATGGCCACTTAGGAACGTTGCCGTGAGTTTTTTGGGTTGTGGAGAGGGGATGGTGGTGATTTCCGGCTCTCCGGTGGGGGAGGATGAAGTCTCAGCACTATCGAATGGGGTGGGTTGAGGCGCTGGGACCTCGGTAGGTGGGCTGGCTGGAGCGGTATAGCTTTTTGGGAAGAGGCCGACCTTTCCTTTGAGATTTCGTCCCTACGAGAAGATGAGAATGACATCAATTGTTTTCATTGAGAGGGAAAGGCGTATCCAACTGTCCCCAGTGGATGTCTAGGCGCCTAGGTCTAGATAAAAAGATACACACCTGCCACCAGCCATCACCGTACATGTCGTCCTTCTCGACGACCTCTATCCGGTCTCCAGCTCGAAAGGAAAGTTCATCCTCGTTCTCTGGGAAGAAATCATGTGAGGCATATACGTAGTCTGGCATCACTCCTGAATAGTGTATCCCTCTCACAAATTAGTGTTGGTTGGTGGTATTGGAATCTTGGTACTTAAGTTGAGTAGGGATACGCAGCCCTAAAAAAAATGATGCGATCATTCGTATGTCTTTCTCCATTGAACAATGTGATTCGTTTGTCCGAGATGATGCGAGACTCCGATCAAGCATTTGTATGTCAGAGGCCGGGCATACTAGATAAATCCCGTCTTTGGGTTTTGCTAGGGTCAGAATAATACGGACTTGCCTCGGGACACCGTCTAGACCGGTAACCGTCCGTCGTGATGAGGTTGACGAGACAAGCAAAGAAACCTCGATACGACGACACCGTCGAACTTCTGACCGTCGTCACCGCTCTCCTCAATCTCCATGGACGTCGACGGTTGGTCGTCGTAATGTGCACATCAACACGTCATTTGTCCAAAACGGGCGATTGTACCTGAATCATGTTTGGAATGGGGGGTACTGCCTAACAAGTTAGCGACGTTTTTCGCCTGGTCCCTCCCCTTCGTGCAGCCTTTCTCGAAGCCTGTATCCCGCTCTGGTACGTTGAAAGTGGTTACCACTTAGTCTCTCCTAGACAGACTTCGATATTATGTGAAGTCGTACCTTTGTTCACGATAATATGAAGTCTGTTATTTACCACGCCCCCAAAACCGCGTCAGAAAAAGTTTATGTAATCTTCGGACTTTGAAACCTCGTCGCGTCAATATCGCGTCCTTGCCGTTTGCTCTCGACGTGATAGCTCATGCGTTTCCATTCCAATACACGTCAAACTTGATATTATACATCTTGGCTGATTTAAAATTCGTTATGACGACTCAGTTATGGCTCAACAACTCCGCTGGCAGGACCCTCAAGGACCTGATACGATCAACACTCCGACGCACCACTCCGTCTCTCCTCGTTCAGTCGCAGCCTTGACGGAAGCTTGTAGAGTAGCAAACCTTGAACCTGTCATAGAGTTGAGAGCCTTGCGTGCGGTTTGCGTGCGGTTATGTCGCTAACGATATTTCCGAATCGGCTGTAAACACGCTTGACATCGACATGGGATTTGGCTGCAAAATGCCAAATACCCAAAACCATCGCAAGGTCTCCATTCGTGTAGTGATTTCGTGCTAAAATGAATGACCTGATGGTGCCGACTTGAACCTAAGAAATAGATAAGCACTTGACAATAAACAGATGGTTGAATACTTGCGATTGGATGTGGGCGTCGCTTCTTCAAAATCACAACACCGTTCTTGCGGGATGCAGTCATTGATTCAGTTAGATACCAAGAAACAGGCGAACGAGTCTTGTATTTCTCAGAAAGTCCATCAATACTGAATTTTCCGAGAGCTTCCCAGATGACAAGGTTGACGTGATCTGCACGCCGTCGGCCATTTGTTGATGCTCGAAGGTGAACATCATTATCCTTACTAGTAAGATCAAAGATCTATCGATGAACGTGGTTGGCGACAAGATTTATTGCCCAAGTGAATAGGGAAGGACGCGCGTGGAGGATTTCGGAAGGAGTGACAGATGGCGAGAAAGGCACATGACACTCGTGGGATTGAGTCGATCTCGAAGATGATGCACTGTGCTTGTGAGGAGAGTGATGAGAATGGAAGGGCTTCAGGAGAATGTATAACAGGTGGCGCCACGCCAGAAATTGCTACAGATTGCGATAGGAAGGCTGAAATGAAGTCAGGCGTTGTGGGAACCTGTTCGTGGGCGTTTTCTTGTATGATCGGACAGCGCGAGACTTCTCTTCCATGGAAAGCAACTTTCAAATAAGAAATAAACTGGATTTGAAGTGTTTAGAGGAGTTGTGGAACTATAAACGCGTCTAGAGTTGAGGGATAGAAGGGAATATTGACGCGATGCGGTTTCAAAGTCCGAAGATTACATAAACATTTTCTGACGCGGTTTTGGGGGCGCGGTAAAAACAGGACTAGTTACCACTCACATGTCGTTTAACCCCGCTTTCTTCAAGGCGACGACGTCTGTTTCCGTATTCGTTCACAACTTGCCCGGGTTTCGAATGCCCTATTTCTCCTTTTTCCGCAGAGAGCCTCGAACGCCGGCCCTCCAGTCCCACCCGAATGCGATGAACAACTCAGTCTATAATATCTTTGGGAGAGCTCATAAGCATCTCTCGCAGAAAATGAGGGACGCGAGTTACTTAGGGAGATCCGGTGTGGTTTGAGAAGAAGCAGGCGAGTTTAACGTTTAGCAAGAGAACTGGTATGTTGACAGTGTTTTGTCAATTGCACATGTCGGTTAAGCCCGCTCCTTCCAAAGTCCGTCTGTTTCCGTGCTTTGATTATGTGGCTGGAGTACGATTTCCATTTTATGTCCCGACGTTGCCCAATCGACAACTGCTACCCATCTCCAGCCTTGTTGAACCTCCCACTTCAGGCTTCCACTAATTCACTCGCACGGAATCAACTTGGCCTTCACCCACCTCACTCATCGACCTAGCATTTGCGCGGTGCAAAGCTATCGAAAACATGGTACAATCCACGTTGTGAATCTTTCGACTAAATAACAGGAAGAAGAGGGCGGATACTGGTCGAGAAGAAGAGGGGAGAGGTTGGTGAAGACAAAAGGATTGCGGCGAAAGGACGATCGTGAGGGCGGTGGTGTAAAAGAGGAAGAAGCGCATGCACCAGTCTCCGGAACGACAAATGTCGTACTGGCGGCTCCTCCACCCCATCTTTGGTTCGACACCTCAAAAATATCAAAACTCTATCCATTCTCATCTAACCCAACATCTCGTCTCACCCTAGTGCGTCAAGTCGTCCTGGG